CGCCGCCCGCGCTCAACAACAACTTGGAGAGCCCCAACTGGCAGTCCTGCCACCCGACCCTGCGCGAGAGGTGAGCCGGGGTGAGCCGGGCCCCGCCCGGGCCGCCGCGCTGCGTGCAGACCCGAGCCCTGTGTCCGCCCTTTGCAGGAACGCGCTCATGTTCAACAGCGAGCTCATGGCCGACGTGCACTTCATCGTGGGGCCCCTGGGGGCGGCCCGGAGGGTGCCGGCCCACAAGGTTGGTAGCCAGGCAACCTGCAGCCCCTGCGTGCGCGCCCTGCAGGCTTGCGCCTGCAGCCGCCCGGGCGCCGGCTCCGGGTCACCCGCCTGTCTCTCGCCCGCAGTACGTCCTGGCCGTGGGCAGCTCCGTCTTCTACGCCATGTTCTACGGGGATCTTGCAGAAGTCAGGTCGGAGATTCACATACCTGACGTGGAGCCGGCAGCTTTCCTCATCTTGTTAAAGTAAGTTGCGCTGAAGCTGGGTGCGGGACAGGGCCCCTCTCCGCCCGCCGCCACCCCGCTCTAGTGGTGCCCGCCCACAGGGGCCTGGGAGCCCCCCCGGGCAACCCAGATGCCAGCCTCTGAGCCCGGCCCTTCTGTACGCAGGTACATGTACAGTGACGAGATCGACGTGGAGGCCGACACAGTGCTGGCCACCCTGTATGCTGCCAAGAAGTACATCGTCCCCGCTCTGGCCAAAGCCTGCGTCAACTTCCTGGAGACAAGTCTGGAGGCTAAAAACGCCTGCGTGCTGCTCTCCCAGAGCCGGCTGTTTGAGGAGCCCGAGCTGACGCAGCGCTGCTGGGAGGTCATTGACGCCCAGGCCGAGATGGCGCTGCGCTCCGAAGGCTTCTGCGAGATCGACCGGCAGACGCTGGAGATCATCGTGACGCGAGAGGCCCTCAACGCCAAGGAGGCGGTGGTTTTTGAAGCTGTCCTGAACTGGGCCGAGGCGGAGTGCAAGAGGCAAGGGCTGCCGGTCACCCCGCGGAACAAGAGGCACGTTTTGGGGCGAGCCCTGTACCTGGTGCGCGTCCCCACCATGACCCTGGAAGAGTTTGCCAATGGCGCAGCCCAGTCGGACATCCTGACCCTGGAGGAGACCCACAACATCTTCCTCTGGTACACGGCGGCCAAGAAGCCCTCCTTGGAGTTCCCCCTGACCAAGCGGAAGGGCCTTGTGCCACAGAGGTGCCACCGTTTCCAGTCCTCGGCCTACCGCAGCAACCAGTGGCGGTACCGGGGACGTTGTGACAGCATCCAGTTTGCAGTAGATAGAAGGGTGTTTATCGCGGGGTTAGGGCTCTACGGCTCGAGCTCCGGGAAAGCGGAGTACAGCGTGAGAATTGAACTGAAGCGCCTGGGGGTTGTGCTGGCCCAGAACTTGACCAAGTTCGTCTCTGATGGCTCCAGCAACACCTTCCCTGTGTGGTTTGAGCACCCGGTGCAAGTGGAACAGGACACCTTCTACACAGTGAGCGCGGTCTTGGATGGCAGTGAGCTCAGCTACTTCGGGCAGGAGGGGATGACAGAGGTGCAGTGTGGGAAGGTGACCTTCCAGTTCCAGTGCTCCTCGGACAGCACCAATGGCACCGGCGTCCAGGGCGGCCAGATCCCGGAGCTCATCTTCTACGCCTGAGGGGCCAGAGCTGCCGCCGAGCGTGGCACAGAGGCCCCTGCGCTCCAGCACCCTGAGCACTGCGGTGAGGACGCAGATGTTTGGTGCCTGATGCATAACCCCTGGAGCTGGCCCACCAAGACCTCCCAGGCATCGAGTCCTTTCTGTCTCTGTTGTAAGTAGACCACTGGAGTCGCAAACCAAAATAGAAAGGTTTTCATGCACACGACCAGAGCCTTGTGTTTCTGGTAGAGTCTCTGTGGGCCTCACAGGTGTCTGCGGTACACTAGGCTGCATATCCCAGGATGGGGGTGTCCTCACACCTGCTCCAAGGGGTTTGCCACCCTCCCTCTCCCTCTTGGATTCTAAGTGGTTTCTAACTTTGACCTGAGAGCATCCATCCAATCCTGTGGGGATCACCTCAAACCAGTCACCTATTCACACAGGTTTTCCTAATAAAGTCCTAAGAAAACGAGCCATGTGTAGACTGACTGCAGGCGTGTCCCTGGGAGTCCCCCTCAGACACCTGAGAAGATGGAGACCACCCTCCGCCAGCACTGAAGCAGCTCCCACTGGGCCATGCTGAGTGGCTCAATACGGAGTGCGTCCCAGGAAGCATCTAGCCCCCGCCCCTTCCTTCCTGGCCATGAGGCAGGATGGACTCACTTCCATTCCAGGTCTGGCTAGAATGCTCTGGAAAAGGCAGGGCTGGTTGTTTCCACTTCCTGAGTCAACAGCTCGGACAAAGACCCCATCAGAGGGCCACCGGGGCATGCTTCAGATGGGGATGCTCACCCCCTCTCCCCTACTCTGTCCCATCTGAGGGCCACTGGGGCATTTGCTTGAGTGGGGACGGTCAGACTGCAGCCAGCTCACCCCCTTCCCTACACTGTCCCCCATCGGCCATTGGGGTGCTTGTTCAGAGTAGGGGCATTTCAGACCACCACCAGCTCACCCCCTCCCCATGCTGCCGCTACACACAGATGCACTGTCCCATTGGAGGGACGTTGGAGTGCTGCTTGAGTGGGGACACTTCAGACTGCAGGTGATGTACCCCTCCCCCATGCAGTCACACACACTGTCCCCTGTTGGAAGGCCATTGAGGTGCTGCCTTAGACTGAGGACGCTTCAGACTGCAGGCCAGCTCACCCCCTCCCTCACGCTGTTACACACACACTCACTGTCCCCTGTTGGAGGGCCATTGGGGCGCTGCTTCAGACTGGGGACACTTCAGACTGCAGCCAGCACACTCCCACCCCTACGCGGAGCCCCCTCCCCACGCTGTGCTCCCCCTTACCCCCGTGGCCACTGACTTTTCCTGCAAAGTGCCTGACTCAAGGTGGTGACAATGGGCTCAGCCCAAGGATGAGCTTCAGGGGGATGGAAGGGTCCCTCCAGCCAACCTGCCCCTCCTATCTGATGAGCGAATGACCCGTCTTCCTGCACCTGGGACTGGTCCTGCTGCTGACGTGAGATGCCCACTCAGGGCCCACAGGCTGCCCTCTACACTCATTGCCAGACCCTGATGGGCAAAGGGGGGGCCTTCGCACACCAGTTCCCTTCTTGGTAAAGTGCAGGAGCCGCCCCGCGCACACTCCCACACGGCTCTGCCAGACCCAGACCCACATCCGCCCACCAGCGGTGGGTGTCCTGTCCTGCACCAGGAGCTTCCCTTTTGGGGGAAGCATTGCACGCTCACCTGCTCTCTTGCCCCTTGAAACACCTGGCCCTATGGCCACACCCAGACCCAGCCCAGCACATACATACCTATCTCTGGTGCACTGGTGCACAGCTCTGGCCGCACCCACCCCAACACGTACGTACCCATCGCTGGCGCACTGGTGCACTGCTCTCCGGCCGTGCCCACGCCCAGCCAAGCACACGCGCGTACGTACCTATCGCTGGCGCATTGATGCACAACTCTCTGGCCAGAAGGAGGAAGGTCTTCCCCAGCACGTAGACGTTCACCTGGGAGAAGGACAACAACCGACAATGGCATTCATGTGGAAGGAAACGGTCTCGTCTTTTCCTTTCTTAAATCCTATTTCACTGTTCAGTCTGGTTCAGAAGTCCCACTGTCCCGGGCAGTCCGCAGACCACCAAGGGGACTGAGACCTCTGAGCAGTGTGGGGGAGGGGTGGCCTCAAAGGCCGCCGTGGGGATGGTTGGGCTGTACAGACCCCGACCAGGAGCACTGGCAGCTGTGAGGGTTTTGCCCCACTGACCCAGGGCAGCCATGAGGTCTGTCAGCAGACTCCGGCCAGCAAAAGGACAGAGTGGAAGAGGCCATCAGGCAGGGCAGCTTTAACAAGATGCTGAAATGGGGGAACGGGCCAAGGGCCTCCATGTCCCAGTCCAGCCTGTGACAACCCTACGCACCTTGCCCACCTCCACCTCATCCCAGCTCGCATGAGCACGAAGGCTGCTCTGCTTCCTGGGATGCCCAGATGTGGTGGTCCTGTCCCCAGCCTCCCCAGAGACTGCCTCACCTGACGAAGTCCAGGACCTGACCCTGCACCCACACTGGTCACAGAGAAGACATACAGAGGCAGCTGTCCCAGGACATGGCGCCGTTCACAGATGGCTCACAGAGGGGCCTGCTGACTCCAGGGCCTGGGGCACTGAGCAATGGCCCGTGGAGCTCAGGGTGCTAGGTGGAAGGGAGTCCTCCAGAAGACCACATTAGCTCAGGGTGCTGGCCCAGCTCATCCACTGTCCACCCTGTCCAGCTAGGCCTCTGTCTCCTCTAAGATACTTCCCGAAGGACCCACAAGGAGCTCTTCCTAAGGGCTTCCAGCTCATGGAGCTGCCTTCCAAAGGAATTCTGGGAGTTTAGGAGCCCTAAGGGCTCAGGAGGACCAGGTCCTTTAGGCCTCTTTGCCAAAGTGTGTGCATGTGTACTGCACAGGTATGAACATACAGCGTGTGTGAGTGCCTAAATGTATATGTATGTGAGTGCATATGTGCATGCATATACACGTGAATGTGCATCCGTTTGTGCATCTGTACAGGTGTTTATCTGTGTGCATGTGCACACATTTCTGCGTGTGTGCATACATTTGTGTGTGTGCATGAGTGCATGTGTACATAAACATTTCTGCATGTGTGTGCAGATACACATGTGCATGCATGTACATGAGTGCATATTGTGCACATGCACACATTTCTCCATGTGTGTGCAGATATACATTTGCATGTGCCTTTGTGTACATGAGTGCATATGTGTGTGCATGTGCACACATTCTAGCATGTATATTCAGGTACACATTTGTGTCCATATGTACTGCACAGGTGTGTAAATCATGTGCATGTGAATGCATACATGCATCTGTGTTTGTGTGTGCACTAGGGCTTAGAACTGGTTTGAACCAGGTCAGTCATGCTGACAAAGCAAAACTAGACAGACCCAGTCAAACCAAACCCACTCTCATCGAGTTGATTCCAACTCAAAATGACTCTGTAGGTCAGAGAACTGCCCCATGGCAGTACATCTTTATGGAAGTGGATTGCCACATTTTCCTGGGGAGTGGCTGGTGGGTTCAAACTGCTGACCTTCCAGTTAGCAGCTAAGCACTTTAACCACCACACCACCAGGGCTCTTTGGAACAGACACAAATCTAAAATTTGAATTGGTGAACCCAAACAGGAAAAATTATGGGTTGAAGCCCTGGAACCGGAGATTCACAAGAGGTGTAGTGAGCTCTTTCAGGAATTGGCTGTGGGAGACTGGATGACTGCCAGGATTGTGGAGAGCCTCACGGGCTCAAAGCAGCGTGGTCAGCCACCGTCTGTGAGCGGGGCACTGCTGTTTCCCACTCTAACACACAAGAGATTTAGTTGTTAATGTTTTCTGAGAAGGAGATTAAGTTTCCAGCAGGACACTTACGTGTAATTTTTCCCATTTGTTACTGTTTTGGTTTTTAAAATCATGATTTCGCTTTTCAAAAGGAGGGTGAACCAGGTCTGTTCTGGCTTTGCTTCATCAGCTGTGACTGAACCAGGAAGAGCCAATCAGAAGCACTGATGTGTGCACTACGTGTGTACGTGTGTAAGCGTGTGTAACGACACAGCACTGGGGCAGCTTCTCACCAGGCTGTCTTGGCCATCCTAGCTTGATCCTTCCTCCATTCACACTAGAGCAAAACCACTCAGCTGCCAAGAGATGGCCCTGATAGCGGCACCCTCTGCCGGTCCACTCCACCCCACCAGCCTGAGCCTAACAGTGCTACAGCAAGCCTGGAGACTGCAGGAAAGGCTTCTCCAAGCATGACTCCTACAGGAGGACCCATTACAAATGCAAAGCTGTGCATCTAACACGCACACAGCTATTTCCAAGACACTTGTGTGGCTCAGTGCCACCTGTGTACTGTCCGAGACAGTAACACGGACCCCTGGGAGTCAGTGCATTCTCTGTACCATATTGCTTGCCTCATGGGGGTGGCTGGAGATGCTGGGCAGCAGCCGTCGCCCTGTGGTGCCTCTGTCCTGTCAGCGGGAAATACGAGAACGCACCCTTCTTCCCCTCAAGCAGTGTCCAGCCACATCTGGAGCTGCTGGCTTGTCCCCATCCCTGCTCTTGTTATCACTGTGAAGCCACTCAGACTGGAAATGAGGTCTCCTGGTCCTGCCTAGACTCAAGCCTGGAACATTTGGAATATGCCCAGTGGATTGGCAGAATCCAACAAATCGGTCTTAGCTTGACCACACTTCAGTAGAGATGCCCTTTATTAGGGCAGCTGGGAGAACACACACAAGGTGCCATCGCTTCCCACGGAACCGCGGGAGCCACCAGACACAGCACAGCACGTGGGTCCCGCTCCCTGAGCACATCCTGGCCAAGTCTCTCCATGGCTCTGAAATCCATGAGAGTCCCGAATGCACCTTCATGGCAAGACACCTTTGTTTTCAGTGGCTAAGCTGTCAGCACAACTTATGTGGGTATGTCCGCCCCCCACAACACACCCTCACCCTCAGGCCCCCCAGTGCCTGGACATGGTTGTCCTTCATGCCCACAGGCCCCACGGTACGTGGGCGTGTCTGTGCCCTGCACCCTCAGGCCCCCTTGAGCTTGGGCGTGCCCATCCCCCACGCCCCCCCCCAGTGTGTGGGCGTGTCTACACCTCTCCCCCACCCCGCGGTACGTGGGCATCTGTGCCCCCACCCCGTTGTGGAGGCGTCTGTACCCTGCGCCCGCAGGCCCCTCCCGCGGTGTGTGGGCGTGTCTACTCCTCCCCCCCACCCCAGCATTTTGTGGCTGTCTGTACCTGGAGCAAGTCGCTGAGGTCCAGGAGCATGTCTGGAGCAGGAGTCAAGGAGCACCGGCAGGCAGAGGCGCAGGCCACCCGGACTCTAAAGCAGCAGCGACGACACCCCATTGAGCAGGGCCTTTGGGTTTGCTAAGTCCAAGTCCAGCATCTGGTTGTGACAGACTGAGGCAGCAGCGCCAGGCTGACAGGAAGTCCCCGCACCCCCACACCAGGGGAGGAGACCTCTGCAGACCCCCCGCAAGGACACGAGGCTGCAAAAAGGGAGTGGAAGGCAAGCTGCCTCGCTGGCACACAGCAGCACCTGACCATCGGGGCCACCACCACAGGGTGGTGCACTGACCCTGCAGCGAAACAGGCCACACCCCGTTTCAGTGCACGGGTCCTTTGGGGCACAAGGTGCACATGGCCCAGGCCCTCCCTCACCCAGAGCCAGGGGTCGCCTGGGGAGACACAGACACTGGGGCACCTAGAGTACCCAGTGACCCCACGGACACCACACACAGTGCTGTCGCTCCAGGAGACTGTGTCGGGCTGTTGACATGGAAGCTAGCTTCCTCTCAGCAAATGGGTAAAGAGTACTGAGAAGATCTCCTACAAGACCCAAGGCTCAGACAACATCCTTGAACAAAACGGTAAGGCCCAAGTTGGTGACTGAGGCCGCTTGTCAAGTGATGTTAAAGTTAGTGCCACCCAAGGCTCTGCTTGGCTCTTAAGGCATCACTAATAAAGACAGCCCCATGGGGCTGGATCAGACATCGTGTCAGAGGAAAACCCTGGGGTCAGACCATCTGTGGAGAAAAGGGATCTGTGGAGAAAAGGGATCTGTGGAGAAAAGTGCCAGGGAGCTACCACATCAGGCAAACCAAAAAAACCAAAGCACTGCCATCGAGTTGGACCTGAATCACAGTGACCCCTCCTTGGGTTTCCCAGGTGACATGACTAGATTGCCCAACCTTCCTTCCGAGGAGTGGCTGGTGGGTTTGAACCGCCAGCCTTCTGGTTAGCAGTCAAGTGCCTTAAGACACTACACAACCAGGGCTCCCAGGCCAGCCTTAGACGCTGGTGACCAGGCTTATGAACACACACACTGTCCCTCCACCTGGAAAGTGCTTCACCCCCAGTGGAGCACAGCCAGGAGACACGGGTCACAGTGTAGCAGAGAAGGAGGTGAGGGAGCGGGGGGCGTAGGGCAGCAAACCAGGAGGGGCTGCAGGGAGAAAGTGGGGGGACAAGGAGGGAGACTATGAGGGGGGCAGACCAGGAGGGGGGGTGCTGGGAGAGGAGGGCTGCAGACCAGGAAGGGGAGCTGACCAGGGAGGGAGGGCAAGCCAGGAGGGACTATGGCAGAGCACAGAAGGGGGGGCAGGCAGGCCATGGAGTGAGGAGGGGGACAGAGCAGGAGGGGATGCAGGGAGAGAAGTGGGGGGACAGAGCAGGAGGGGGACTGTGGGAGGAGGCAGGTAGGCCACAAAGGGAGGCTGTGGAGAGGGGTACAGACCAGAGGGGCCGCAGGAAGACAGGAATGGATGCACAAGAGGAAGGGGCGCTGCGACGGGGGTGGTGGCCGGGAGAGAGGCTGCAGGATGATAGGAAGGGGCAAGCCCCAGGAAACCAGACGGCAACACTAAACGTAGGAGCAGAAACAGTGACCAGAAAACAGACAAACCACAGAAAGCTTCAACAAACCGCAACTCTGTTCTTCCTAAAGATCCACGAAACTGACAACACTTGCTAATCACCAGCCCCTACCATCAGTCTGTCACCTGTGCTGGCTTGCATGTTGCTGTGAGGCTAGAGGCCATGCCCCGAGTATTGCGATACCCGCAGGGTCACCCATGGTGGACACGTTTCAGCAGAGCCTGCAGACAAACACAGACTGTTTTTGTTGTTAGGTGCCGTTGAGTCATCTCCAACTCACAGCGACCTTATGTACAACAGAACGAAACACTGCCTGGTCCTGTGCCAGCTTCACGATTCCTACTATACCTGAGCCCATCGCTGCTGCCACTGTGTCAATCCATCTTGTTGAAGGCCTTCCCTTCTTCGTCGATGCTCCACTTTACCAAGCATGACATCCTTCTCCAGAGAATGGTCCCTTCTCACAACATGACCAAAGTAGGTGAGCCAAAGTCTGGCCATTCTCACTTCCAAGGAGCATTCCAGCTGCACTTCTGGACAGATCTGTTAGTTCTTTTAGCAGTCCACGGTACTTTCAGCATTCTTTGCCAACACCACAACTCAAAAGCATCAACTCTTCTTTGGTCTTCCTTATTCACTGTCCAGCTCTCACATGCATATGAGGCAAATGAAAACATCATGGCCTGAGTTAGATGCACCTTAGTCTTCAGGGAAACATCTTTGCTCTTCAGCACTTGAAAGAGCTCTTTTGCAGCAGATTTGCCCAATGCAATATGTTTTTTGATGTCTTGACTGCTGCTTCCATTGGGGTTGATTGTAGAATCAACCAATATGAAGTCTTTGACAACTTAAATTTTTTTCTCCATTTATCATGATACTGCTTATTGGCCACTTGTGAGGATTTTTTTCTTTATACTGAGGTGTACTCGATATTGCAGATTGTAGTCTTTAATCTTCATCAGTAAGTGCTTCAAGGCATCCTCATTTTCAGCAAACAAAACTGTGCGTATCTTAGGTTGTTAATGAGCCTTCTTCCAGTCCTGATGCTACTTTCTTCTTCATATAATCCAGGTTCTTGGATTATTTGTCCAGCATATAGATTGAATAGGTATGGCGAAAGGATACAACCCTGACACACTCCCTTCCTGATTTTAAACCATTCAGTATACCCCTCTTCTGTTTGAACGACAGCCTCCTGGTCAATGTACAGGTTCCTCATGAGTACAATTAAGTATTCTGGAATTTCCATTCTTCTCAACGTTATTCATAATTTATTATGAGCCACACATCGAATGCCTTTGCATAGTCAATAAAATACATGTAAACATCTGTCTGGTATTATTTGCATTGAACCAAGATCCATTTGACATCAGCTATGATATCCTTTGCTCCATGTCCTCTTCTGAATCCAGCTTGCATTCCTAGAAGTTCTCTGTCAATATACTGCTGCAACTGTTTTTGAATTATCTTCTGTAAGATTTTACTGCAAACGATATTAATGATATTGTTCAATAATTTCCACATTAAGTGGGATCGCTTTTCTTTGGAATGGGTACAAATATGGACTGGTCCAGTCAGTTGGCCAAGCAGCTGTCTTCCAAATCTCTTGGCATAGCCAAATAAGTGCCTCCAGCAGGGCATCCATTTGTTGAAACATCTCAATGGGTATTCCGTCAATTCCTGGAGCCTTGTTTTTCACCAGTTCCTTCAGTGCAGCTTTGACTGCTTCCTTCAACACCACGGTTCTTGAACATATGCCACCTCCTGAAATGGACGAACATAGACCAATTCTTTTTGGTACAGTGACTCTGTGTATCACATCCATCTTCTTTTGACGTGTCCTGCATCATTCAACATATTGCCCATAGAATCTTTCAATATTGCAATTTGAGGCTTAATTTTTCCTTCAGTTCTTTCAGCTTGAGAAATGCCAAGAATGTTCTTCCCTTTTGGTTTTCTAACTCCACGTCTTTGCACATTTCATTATAATAATTTGTCTTCTTGAGATGCTCTTTGAAATCTTCTGTTCAGCTCTTTTATCCTGTCAATTCTCCCATTTGCTTTAACTACTCTTCACTCGGTTACCCTCCCGAGAGGGACTGGGTCTCCGGGAGCAAGGTAAGCACAGGCGGGCTGGTGCTTACTCACTGATCTGCACTGAACACTTTCCCTTGTT